GAAAGAACTTCGAGACTAAAATGACATATAAGGCTTTTTTGTTAAATTGAGGATATCAGATTAAATATTTTTGCAGAAAGCACTGAAATTACAAATAAATTAATTAAGAACAAGAACAAAGATGACTCATGTAGTCAAGTATCAAAACAAATAGAAAACGAAGACAGGTAAGCAAGCATATAAGCAAGTTATGAAGCTTGATTGGGTGATGGAAATGTGTTGAAATGTTATGTGTTTTTTTTTAACAACATGCAAGTATGAGTATGGATACGTCATCTTAAATTAAAGCAAGACAATTGGAGTTTACTTGGATATCATTAGGATCCTATGGAAGGTGGCATGTTTAGATATTATTAAGAATGTACAGGCTAAATATGAATTACTTGAATGTCTTCATGTTTTAATTTATTGACTTTTAAAAAAGAAAGTTTACTTCAGTTTCCCAAAACAAAAAAATATATATAGTAGAAAATCATACTGGTCGTCCATTCATAGTGTCCGATTCAAAACAGGATTTTAGAACTTGAACTTCTAGTTAGTAAAATATCATCTCACCATTAAATGAGAGCGTATTCTACTTAAAAATGCTCTACTTTTTAATCATCGTGCACATCAGCGGTCATTAATCTAAACAACGGAAATAGAGATGACACATGATATATCATCAAAAATTTATCTTGATCGAGTAAGAATCTCGAGCCAAATCAAGTTAGAAGCTTCCAAAATTAAATTTGGGACCATATGAACTCCGATTTCAACAAACTTATAGTCGAACTGAACATCTTGAAAAGAAGAACCCAACGACACCAAATTCAACTCAATTCAAGCCCAAATGGGTCCAAATCGACGACTCAAAGCATATTTGGAAGGTTCAAACCATAATTTAAATTACCAAACAGTTTCCAAACGTAACATGCTTATAGTCGAATCGAGTGGTTCGACGAGACGAATCCAATGAGCCCAAGATCGTCAAATTCTGACATCACTAAGGCATTCAAATGTCCAATGAACAATCATGATCAAGGGAATCAACATCGGTCGTCCATTCAATTCACTCCCAACATACTCTTAATCTCCTCCCTGACCATGCCACTCACAGAAAATTATAAATAGACCCGTCATTCCTCACGAAAATGAGCGAGGGACGGTGACCGAAGCAAGAGAGGAGAGGGATTTCTCTTACCACCAAGCTCCTCCACGAACACCTCCCGGCCACCGACCGTCATCAGACTGACGCCAGACTTCCGCCCGGCCACCAGCTGAAGCCAGACTTTCGCCCGACCATCCACTGACGCCGGACTTCCGCCGACTGATGATGAAGTTCTATTGACTGACACCGGAATTTCACCAGACTTCCGACTAATGCCAGAATTCTGCCGACTGACGCCAGAATGCCACCCAACCGCCGACTAACGTCGAACTTCCACCTAGCTGTCGACTAACACCGAACTTCCACTGACTGATGCCAGAATTTCACCTAGCAGCCGACTGACGCCGGAATTCCACCCGGCTGTCGTCTGACGCCGGACTTCTGTCTGACCACCAACTGATGTTTGACTTCCACCCGGCTTCAAATTCTTGTCAGACTTCAAGTCGATAATGATCTTTTTGACCTTCATTACCCATCGACTACAATCCTTCCGACCTCCATCACTTGACCAAGGTTTTTCTGACATTCGTCGCCCAACGACTATGGTCCTTCCACTACAGGAAAACACGGTATTACCAGCGGACAATATCCACCGGTAACACGTAAAATCCGACGCAAGGCCTTGGTTTCTGGCGCATTTCCATCGAATTTTGTTACGTCGGTTTGGTGCGCGTCGGAAAATGTCTTTCGACGTTTATAAGACGCAGGAAACCTTTCCGGCGCACTCTCTGACACATTACCGGCGCAAAATATGATAGCCAAAACGTCGTTTCCTAACCGATTATTCCGGCGAGATATACGCCAGAATTTTACGACGTATATATCCGACGGCAAATATCGGCGGATAAAACGTCGTAGATTCGCCGTAACTAAAGCTACGGTTTGTTTTCAGCGCTATGGGTATGCCAGAAAACGCCAGCGGAGAAGACGTCGTAAGGTGCGCCGTAAATAAAGCAACGACTTGCTTCCGGCCCATTTGCCGCCGCCATTTTCCGGCTGAAAAAAAATGCCGGCATGATTGCACCGATTCGTTATATCGTCGTTTCCGTCACATTTCTGATGCCAAGTGATGGTCAAATAGGTGGTGAAATATATGAAGAATATCATCAGCAAAAAAACATACGGCGGTAACTGCGTTGGACCTTTTGTAAATGTCTAGTGAGAACATCTATGGCAAAAGTAAAAAGATATGGACTTAAGGCTTATCCTTGATGCAATCCAACTGAATAAGAAATTACTTTGTCAAACTACCTAGTGTTTTAACACAAGTAAAAGCTAAAAGTCGTTGGTGATTCAATGCAAGGAAGTCATTAAGGGGATTGTAGAAAATTATGATCAATTTGTATCCTATCTCAAAGGGTCAAGCCACTCATCCACCTAAGCATCTCAGACTTGAGGCAGATCCTTGATGTAATCCAGACAAAATAGGAAAATACTTGGTCAAACCACAAGTAATAGCTCATGCATATATATCTTTAATGTTTTGAATACAAACATTATTAACTCTTTTTTTCAAGAACTCTCCATAGCACTTCTCTTGAAACTTTATCATATGCTTTCTCTAAATCAACAAAAATCATATGTAGATCCTCCTTACTCTCTCTATATTTCTCCATCAAACCTCTCAAAAAATGTATGGCTTCCATAATAAACCTACCTGACATGAATCCAAATTGATTTTGAAAATTTTTTCAACATAAAAACATCTACAATATGCATCCTATATCAAATGTCTAAAAAGAAATTACATGAATAAAAAAAACTTACAATCGACAGGAGGGAGGTGACTTACAATCGACGGGAGGCGAAAACTCACGGTCGGAAATAGAGCTTTCGCCGGCGAGGAAGTCGGTGATCGTCGGCGACATCCGGTGAACGCCAACACAGCTCGGCGACGTCGATCTACGGTGAGCAACGCTGGGCGACGAGGGAGACACCGGAGATGCGAGAGAAATGAATGAATGAAATGAACAACCAGACGGGTTCGGGTTCGGAAATAGGGCTTTTGCCGGCGGATTTCTTGGCGTCTGAGACGCCGGAATATTGTCCGGCGCATTTTGCATCGGTTATAAATCATTTAGTTTAAAATAGCAATCGTTTTTTCCACCGGTAAGTGCGCCGGACATTTTCCTCCGTAAAGTGCGCCGGTACCAATGAAATACTAGTATATTCCAACGTTACTACCGGCGCATTGGACGTCAAAAATTTTCCGTCGCACTATGCGCCGGAAAAAACACCGTCATCATTCCTTCGCAAAATATTCCGCTGGAAAATCCGACGGTATTCGCGTGTTTTCCTGTAGTGTTCCAACCTCCGCTGCTAAACAATGGTCTTTACAACCTTCATCACCCGCTAACTGCAGTACTTCTGACCTCTGTCACTAGACAACAGTCTTTACGACCTCAGTCGCTCCCTAACTACAGTCCTTCCCACCTTCGTCGCCAGAAAACGGTATTTCGGACCTCCATCGACCGTTGACCATGGTCCTTTTGACAACCGTCACCCGAATATGATTTTTCTAACCTCAGTTGCCAGCCGACTATGGTTCTTCCGACAAAAGGAACATATCAATTATGATTTATTCCAATTTCCACCATATAATGCATTATATATGATGTATATTTGTTACATCAAGCCAATGCCTTCCCTCCAATGACGGTCCTCATTTGTAATCAACTGCAAATACTAGTTGATTTATTCAAACTAGGCTAGGCCCCGTGGTTTTTTCCCTTTTAGGATTTTCCAAGTAAAAATCTTGGTGTCTCTTATAAATACTGCACCTTCTCTTTTTATCTGATTCTATGCTGGATCTTCGTACAAAGCTAAGACGTAAAACTTTATATTTCTCAACCTCCACGAATATTCCAGGATGCAACAATACATATTTCTTAATAATGCACTTTCCCATCCAACTGAAAAGTAAATGATGGATGAAGTGGTTTGAATAGAAAATTAATCAGGAAATATTGTACAATTTTTTCAGCCTAACTAAACATAAATTCTTTTTTTATTTTAGAAAATTATTAATGGTGATATAATCTACATATTTCTAAGAAAAATAACAGCTTAAGACGATGATAATTTTTGTAATCTGTTTTTAAAGCAAAAGAAAATAGTCCAGATGAATGTTATACACAAAACCACCCGCTTCATAATCAGGGATAATGCTGCAATCCTTCCCAAGTCCCAGACTATGCATTTGTGGGAGATTCTTGCATTAGGTGTAGCCTACACTTCTATAAACAAAACTTGCATCATAGAAAAATATACGAAACCCAATAAACATGATTAAAATTTCATAACTTGCCATTATAATTAAACAAATGGCATTAAACATCTCAATCGAAAAAATAAAACATCTTTTAAAACCTAAATTATATGTAAAACATGGATATTTAACCTTAAATGCTAATTAAAGCTAAAAAAAAACTCCCACTATAATATCCATAGCATTTTCATAAGTCCGTCACTCGTCCATCAATAATTGAACTCCAATAAATCCAATCACCATTTTTCATTAATAAAAGAAATCACATACTTTTTTATATATTTTTGGGACTTCACATGAATTGCATCGCAAAGGTCTTGAGCACAAGTCTTTGTGAAGCGATCCAACAAACCCAACTATTAAATAAAGTTGGGCATAAAGAAAAAATTTATACTATACAAACTACTTAATCTATTGGTTGATAACATAGGCTCTCAATCATAAGGTCTTGAATTTGAGGCCTTACATGTGAATTTTTCATTAAATTCAATTAAAATTTAGAAAAAAAAAACACTGTACAAACTACAATAAGGTTGCACATAAAAGAGAACAAAAGTGGAGAATACAAAGGAAATGCCATACCGGTATCCTGTCCTCGTACTTCCTCATAATCCTCGCAGACTCCTCCTTTCTTGTCACTTCCAATAGAAAACAGAGATAATTTCAAAAAAAAAAAAAAAAACACAAACCGATAAAAATCTTAATTAAAAGAAAAAAGTTAGATCAAGAATGCCCATCTATACACAATGACTACAAACCCAAGCTGTGTTCTTTCTTAAAAGAGCCGGTACATCCCTTCTCGGCCATCTCCACTGCTACAATTGCCAATCGCAAACAGAACCGCTTAGCTCAAAAACCTATCAACGTAATAACATAATCCCTAAAAATCTTTCATAAACAACAAATCATCAGGAAATACAAACCAACCAATTACGAGCCGACAAGAACGCAATCAAGAATCTCCGTGGCTTTCAGTTGCCTGGAACGAGAAGAAATGTTTGGAAAAGAGAGAAGAGAGCTAGTAATAAGGTAAACCAGAAAGGTAGGATATTGGTCTAGTTGAGAGTTGTTTATGGATAGATGATGAAGCAGAAGACGCGATCGAAGTATAAGAATTGAAAAAACCTGAAGACAAGCCTTGAACGATTTGGTTACTTCCGAAAGCTGAGATTATCTAATCTTTTCGTCCATCTCACTGTTTGCTTCCGCCACTACAACTAAAAGTTATAACCATCACGATTTCAATCCAGGTCCGGCGGATTTCAGCCGCCCGCTAGCTACCGTTTTTCACATTTAAATATTTACAAGAAGTCAGGGAAATTTTTTATAAATGTTTGATTTTATTGTGAAAATAATATATATTTCGAATAAAGAATTTTTTTTTTAAATGTCAATCTTAATTAAATCAAATCAATACATCTAAACGATTGGATTCTATTTACAAAAAAGTGAAATCCATATTTATTGAAGCTCATGAGCCTGTCAAATATTAGTGTTTTGATGATTATAATTGATATATTATCAAAAAAATTATCTTGATCTAGCACGAATCTCGAGACAAAAATCGAGTTACAAACTTCAAAAATTAAATTGGAGATCATCTGAACTATGATTTCAGCAAACTTACAGTCGAACTGAACGTCTCGGAAATACGAACCCAACGACACCAAATTCAAGTCAATCCGAGCCCACATGAGTTCTAACCAAAGACCCTAAGCGCATTTGGAGGGTTCAAACTATAATTTGGACTACCAAATGGTTTCCAAATGTGACATGCTTATAATCGAATCAAGCAACTCGACGAGACAAATCCAATGAGCCCAAGATCGTAAAATTCTAATATCATTAGGGCCTTCAAATGCCTAATAAATTGTCCGCAATCAAGGGATTCAACATAAGTCGTCCATCCAAATCACTCACAGTTTATCTTTGATATTTCTCCTGTTTACTGGACATGCTACTCTCAAAACGTTATAAATAGATATCTCATTTCTCATGAGAAGGAGCCCAAGCAAGAAGAAAAGAAAATGAAGAATAGAAGAGAATGAAGAATAGAAGAGAAGAAGAGATAGAAGATACAAGGAAGATAGATTTCTTTCCATAAGACTCCTCGATCACAGCCAGACTTCCACCCGGCATTCGACCGACGTCGGAATTCTGCCTGATCGCCAACTTACGCCGAAATTCTGCCCGACCACCGACTGATTCTGAAGTTCTGCCCGACCATAATTTGAAGCCAGATTTCTGCACGCCAACCAAACGTCGCCAGATTTTCGATCTCCATTTATAACTGAATTTTAACTTGAGAGTTGATTATTGTATTCTGATTGTTCTCAATCTCAGGGATAACCCATCCACTTGTAATCTAAGTAAATACTAGTGGAATCCTTTCAACTTAGCATGACCCCATGGGTTTTCCCTTTTCCAGGGTTTTCACGTAAAAATAATGGTGTTATATTTTTCTTCTATTTGTGTGTTGGATATATGTACAATACTAAAATAAAAATTTTCTAACTCTGTCGCCGCGTATATTCTAGCTCATAACAGTTTGACACCGTTTGTGAGAAATAATCGCATGATTCTAAGTATTTCTTCAATGGACAATAGGTTTAGCAATCACATCTTGGGAGCCTCCTGCTCCAACACCCACCAATCTAGAATCAATCTATGAATCATGGATGCCAAGTATCTATGTCTTTTTATCTCAGGGGGCATAATGCTATTGGAGAAGGAACTTTATGGCCTTCCCTAGTGGAGAAAATCTGAAAGATGGAAGAATCTCAAAATAATATCCCTCAACTTCTACGAGAGACTCAACAACTGGTGCTAACATCATAGGAAGAGGTTCTTCTGCCTCAAGATTCACCATCGGCTGAAGATGTTCAACTAAACATCTTTACGTAGAGATTCCTCTTCCTTTACCAAGGAGGCATGTGCAATCACATCAATACAATAAACTTGTTGACACTACAAGGTCTACACATCCTTCGCATACATGACGACAACCTCAAATTCCTCCGGACATCCATGAAGACTTAGTCCGACTGGACATTATTAAGCTCCCTCATAATGAATAGTAAAGATTGGTCCAAGAAGAGTTCCCTGTGAGAGATGTAAGACAACCTCTTAATCAGTGGGACTTCCAAGAGTCATCACCCCTAACTGAAGCCCTTCTTCATCACCCCTAACTGAAGCCCTTCTTCATCACCCTATTTCAACAAGATTCAAACTACCGAGAATCAATTCTTATGATGGGACATCCAACCCATATGAGCATATCGATCACTATAGAATCATCATGAATATCAAAAGATCCTCAGACATTCTCATCTGCTAGGTTTTTCCTGCTACCCTCAAAGGACAAGCTTGAATGTGATTTTATTTACTTCTAGCCGGAATGATTCCTATTTTTGTCAAATTGGCCAAAGTATTCATCGAACAATTCATTGCTAATCGAAGGATTACAAAGGATTCTTCTCATCTTTTTGGGATCTGCCAAAATGGAGTATCGCTAAAGGAGTATTTTTAATGGTTTTCCACCGAGGCTCGGAGGCCTCTGTCCTGTCCCCTTTTATTTGACACTCTTATGAGATACGTTTCATTCATATGCTGACCTGATTCATCATGTGGAGGCACAAATCTCTGTAGATAAAATTATAAATGCTCATAGAAAATAGTTTGAGCAAAAAAATAGAAAGTGCAAAAGTGCACCTAGGATGGATAATTTATTTTAGCAATAAAAGAAATAAGGGAAGAATAATCTGACTCTTAGGCCTCCAATGTCATGACAAGAACCTCAATAGAAGAATAAGTATGCACCACTGAATGTATCACGGGCAAATGTGTTGATGGCCATCCGAGATCAGGAGAATATGTAGTGGCATAATCCTTTGAAGCAAAATACAAAAAATCAGGATCAATACTATCATTTTCATCGTAGTCGTGGCCATACTATTGAAGCTTATAAGAAGCTCAATATTGAAATTGAAAGGCTTATCCACCAAGGTTATCTTTGACATGTTTATTCGAGATCCACCTACTCAAGAGGAAGCTTGTCCCACTAGGGGTAAAATTAATAGCAATAGAGATAATAGTTGAATAATCATTTAATAGTTGGTGAGATTGAGACCATCGCAGGAGGCCCCTTATTATGTGATCAAGTCTTATTGGTTGTAGATGAAAATATAATATAAAAGAAGCCTTATATCAATCATTCTATTGCTTTTGATAATTCTAATTTATAGGGAGTAAAAACCCTCATCAAGATTTTCTTGTAATTAAAATGAAAATAGGTGTCCCATGTTACAACTTTAAAAGAATTCTTTTGGATAATGGGAGCTCTA